TTCAGACCGCCGGGTTTAGCTATTGACCCTAAAACTATAAAAGATGAAGTTGAAACATTTCTTCTTTTTATTAAATTTAGATTTTTTTGGGGACAATAGCTTAGATTACAAAGTATACATCAGCGCGAGGCCAAGTATTCATTATATATCGTCCACAGTTTTTATAAATTGTGTAACTTTGTACAGTTTGGTACTTTGTGTACACATGAACAAACATCAGGGGGGGGCATGGGAGAGGATGGGATAAAGAGGTCGATGAGCTCATGCATTCATTAATTTATGCATCCATTCATGCATGTTATAATAATAGTTAGTAATAGTTTTAATAATTATAATAATAGTTAATATTAGTTACAATAATAGTTATAATAGTTAAATCATAGTTATAATAGTTAATATTAGTTATAATAATAGTTATAATACTTATAATAGTTAATATTAGTTATAATAATAGTTAAAATAGTTTATAATAGTTAATATTAGTTATAACAGTTATAATACTTATAATTGTTAATATTAGTTATAATAATAGTTAAAATAGTTAATAATAGTTAATATTAGTTATAATAATAGTTATAATAGTTAATATTAGTTATAATAACAGTTATAATAGTTAATATTAGTTATAATAACAGTTATAATAGTTAATATTAGTTATAATAATGGTTATAATAGTTAATATTACTTATAATAACAGTTATAATAGTTAAATAATAGTTATAATAGTTATATAATAGTTAATATTAGTTATAATAATAGTTATAATAGTTAAATAATAGTTCATATTAGTTATAATAATAGTTATAATAGATATTATAGTTAAGTTGGGCCTCGACCCTCATGTTGGGACACTGACTCAGTGAATTATGAAACTTCTGACTTTTACCATCAGTTATGTTTTTAATCTTCAGAGACCGGCTGAGCTCCAGCTGAACAACAAACACGTCCAGGATCACTAGGACCTCCAGTACCTCCAGGATCACTAGGACCTCCAGGATCACTAGGAACTCCAGTACCTCCAGGATCTCCAGGATCACTCGGACCTCCAGGATCACTAGGACCTCCAGGACTATGTCTTCATCTCAGAACACATCAGAGCTCCAACCATCCGGACTCAAAGGTTTCTGTTTGTGGCTCCACCGCTGCTCCTCCTCTCCTCCTCCTCCTCTTCCTCCCCCAGTCAGCTGTGGCATCCCCCCCTCCTGTCCCCCGGTGTCTCTCCGTGTCCCCCTGCTGGTGGTCCTGGTGCTCTGCAGCCTGCTGCTGATGCTGCTGCTGCTGCTGTGGAACTACCACTGTCTGTTCGTCTCCCACATCTGCTCCCCCCCGGGGGAGGAGGAGGGGGGGGCGGTCGTGACCCTGTGGCGCCGGCGGTGACGGTGGCTCCGCCCACTCCTCCTGAACTGGTGATGGTGACATCACAAGCCTATTGATGATGTAATCATTAGTTTTACAAAAAAATAATTTGTATATTCTTTGACTTTGAAAATTAATAATTGAGACTTTAATGTTCATATTTGTTGAACAGTTCCTAATTTGTTACTAAAGTGTACTTAATATTTTCAAGTACTCTGTAAAATCACAATGAAGTCAAATAAACATGAATAAAAGGTGATCATTATTGATGTATGGACAGACTTCATAATAATAGTAAAGTCAGAAATAGTCCTGAAGTATAAAGTGACGACTGACTTTGATTAATGAGCGCCGAGCAGATGGGAGCAGTACACCTCAAGCCCTCTGGAAACACACGGGGTCACACAGGCCGAACAGCAGGGGCCCCCAACAGGGATGATGTGTTTCTGTAGTCCAACAGGAAGTCATCATATTACTGTAGTCCAACAGGAAGTCGTCATGTTTCTGTAGTCCAACAGGAAGTCATCATATTACTGTAGTCCAACAGGAAGTCATCATTACTGGTTCCCTCAACAAACAGCCAATCAGATTCTTCCATTGAAAACACATTGGTCAGTTTACCAGCTGTGAGTTTTAGCGGCAGCCATGTTTGTTTACCTTCATGACGATAGTTTAGGGGGCGTGGCTTCAGGAGGTCTGAGGAGAGACCAGGTCAGACTTCTGGTTCTGGTTCTCAAAGAGAGCATCACTAGATGTGATATTGATTAATTATTGAGTTATAATTAGCACCACGAACCACCAGAACCCTGAAAGGTCTCATGGACCTAGAGACCAGTACAGAACTCAGGAAACCTTTTCAAAATGGCCTTGAGGAGCCTGGAGAGTCTTTATAGATGTTCTCAGCCTGAACCTACTTAAGGTCTCGTGGAACCCTTAAGAGCACTGGAACCTCTTCAAGGATGTTTAGGGGTTTGCATGAGGACTTCTTGAGGGGAATTAAAGACATCTAAAAAACATGTCCTGAAGGATCTGAAGAGCTCATTCAAGCACCAGTGAGACCTCGTCAAGGATTTAATTGTAAGACTCCTGAACCATCACAGACCCCCAGAGAACCCTTTAAAGGTAATCCAGGAGTCCTCAATGAGGAACCCTGGAATCTTGTTGAAGACCAAGAGGACCAGGAGGACCCTGGAGGACCTGTAAACCTCCTGGAGCACCCTGAAGGACTCTGAAGGACCTGTAAACCTCCTGAAGGACTCTGAGGGACCCTGGAGGACCAGTAAACCTCCTGGAGGACCCTGAGGACTTTGAAGGACCAGTAAAACTCCTGGAGGACCCTGAAGGACTCTGAGGCCCTGTCCACATTACTCCGTTTTTGCCACGTTTACACTGAGCGGCCACACTATGCCGGAGTTTTGGAGCACCCTAAACGGAGGAGTTTGAAAACACCCCCGAGATTGGAGGTGTTTGAAAACTCCGGGGTTGCGTTTGAGTGTGGACGGTCGGAAACTGATGTGCTTAGAAAAAATGACGCCCACACCCGTGTTCGCTACTGGATTGGTTCTTAGCAGCCATGACCTCTCCGTCCCTGATTCGTCACACTCACTATCACATGACCCGTACCCGGAAGAAAACAAACAGGCAGGGCGACCAGTAATTCATTTCAACATGGATAACAAATTTCAAGCGTTGCTGCAGTAAAAGGCTGCATTTCTGTGGAGGAAGCAGCTGTTATTGGGGCGATTAGCGAGCCGCGTGACCAGCAGCCAAGCCACAGTTAGCCGTAAATGCTGTTCAGAGGTACGAGTGAGAACAACAACAGTTAGTGCCTTGTTGTTTTTAGATTCTAATGAGAAGACACGCTGCACTAACGTTTAACTTCTTCCGTTTGGTAGCATTGAGAGACCTTAGTCTGTAAGTATGTCTTTATGAAGCATGAAAAGATGTACGAAGATATATTCTATTCGCTCTTTTAGTATAGCATTTGTGTCGTATTCAATGCTAATCGCGGTTAGCATTTCTCCATTGGCGGTAATGTTAAAATGAGCTTAGAAGCTAGCTAGTCAGACATGTTACATGATGTTCAGAGCTACGAGTGAGAACAGACACCAACAACACGGAGGAAACAAGTGAGAGACGTGTGTTGACCACATTGATGGACCCATATTCTAGTAAACGTTTACGTGTAAGTGTTGATGTTAAAGTAAATTTGATGTGAGAGAGAGAGAGACCCGCAGCGCTGTAAAACTTCTAAAACGTTCCACGAACTGTGTCTGTTTGAGTTTATAGAGGGAGATTTTAGAGGAAGTATCAAACACAACCTTTCATTATTAAAGACTACTTCATTACTCTGTCGTATTTTTTTTAAACTCAGCAACCAATCTACTTCCTGTTTACACCGGCACGCGCATGCCCAGTGTACGTTAATGGTCACGTGCTGCCCGTCTTCGAAGGCTGCCCTGTGGACGCAGATCAACTCGAGAATGATGCTGAAACGGCCGTGTGGACGGAGATCGTTTCTATTTGACAACTCTGCATCCAAATAGAAACGGAGTAATATGGATGTAGCATGAATAACCTGTAAACCTCCTGGAGGACCCTGAAGGACTCTGAAGGACCTGTAAACCTCCTGGAGGACCCTGAAGGACTCTGAAGGACCTGTAAACCTCCTGGAGGACCCTGAAGGACTCTGAAAGACCTGTAAACCTCCTGGAGGACCCTGGGAACCTTTCCGGACTCTAAAAACTCTAAAACAGATGTCAAGTCTTGTGGGGGGAAGGGAGCGCAAGCCGCACAGCTGCTGCGCATGCTGGAGGGAGCAGATCAAAAACACAGAGCCGCGCGCTACCGTCTGCACCTCAAAACAGTGTCAGGTGAAACCGAACGAGACCGGAAATAAGACCGGTGCGCCTTCAAAATAAAAGCTCAATATGTCAGTTTTTTTTCCTTCAAGATGATTTTATTTGTTCTCTTCAAAGTTGAGAAGTATAAAACTGATTCGACTATAATTGATTTAATGTCAGTGCTTCCATCTAGTTTTAATGTAATGTTACCTTGAGTTTTTAACTGTGGTGGAATATAAGTACTTTACTTTCTGCTGTACTTCTACATCTCTCAGGTAATGTACTTTCTACTGCTCTATGATAGTGAAAGGTCTATTTAGTTACTGTTTTACATATAAACCATATGATGTATTTCTAATCAATGACTGTATTAGCCATAGAAACAGAAGGATATAATATTCCATGATAATAATTAAACATGGTGAAATGAGTCATATATTATTTTGCATTATGAGAATTTTTACTTTTGATATTTTAAGTACATTTTGCTGATAATACTAACTGAAGTAACATTTATTCACAGTATTTTAGACTTTGTTGTTTCTAAGTGATGGATCTGAATACTTCTGGTCATCTATATTTATTAACACAAGATAATTATTAATGTACATAAGACTCATATTGAAGGTTAAATTGGTGTTCTTGGACCAGGACTGTTCCTGATCAGGTGTTGGTCTACACGGACTCAAGACTGGACCGGAGGCGCAATAACAGCTAAAAACTGTTTTTTTTCAAGCTTTTAATTTGAAGGATTTGACCGGACGTTGGGGTTTTATTGTGGCAGTCTTGATGGTGGTCTTGTGCCTGTGTGTGTGCGGCGGAGCAGCTCGAGCACCTCAGCTGTTTAAAACTCCGATGAGCTCAGAAACTTTTAACTTAAAAAAAAACAAAAGTTTTAAAAATGACTTTTATTGTTGTGATCCTCTCCCTGTTTTAGACTCTGGTTCTGGTTCTGGGTTTGTTCTGTCGCGGCATCTCCCGTCGAGTCCCAGTGTCGGTGTTTGGAGCCGAACGGAATCCGCAGACCGGGTCACAATGAGCGGACTGGTTCTCCTCCTGGGTCTCTGTCTGAACCTCCACACATGCCGGGCTCTCCCCTTCCAGCTGCCCGCCCTCAGCACCGAGCCGCCCGGCCACGTCTCCCTCACCGACCCGCTGATGGATCACGACCGGCTGGATGAGGAGCTGGGGGTCTGTGGGCTGTGTGAGCCGGACCTGTGCCCGGAGACCCGGGGCTGCAGGGCCGGTCTGGTGCTGGACTCATGTGGCTGCTGCAATGAGTGCGGTAACCTGGAGGGTCAGACCTGCGACCCGGGAGACCGCAGCGTCTACTACGGGCTGTGCGGGACCTGGATGCGGTGTCTGAGGGACCCACGTGGAGGAGGAGAAGGAGGAAGAGGAGGAGAGGATGAAGAGGAGGAGGAGGAGGAGGAGGAGGAGGAGGAGGAGGCGGTGTGTGTGTGTGAGGAGCAGAAGGTGGTCTGTGGCTCTGATGGACTCACATACATGAACATGTGTAGGTTCAGAGAGGCCACGTTCTCCAGACCAGAGCTCAAGACCAGAGGGAGGGGGCCCTGCAAGACCGGTAAGACATCTGTCTGTCTGTCTCTCTGTCTCTCTCTCTCTGTCTATCTGTCTGACTGTCTGTCTGTTTGTCTGACTGCCTGACTGTCTCACTGCCTGACTGTCTGACTGTATGTCTGTCTCTCTGTGTGACTGTCTCTCTGTCTGACTGACTGACTGTCTGACTGACTGTCTGACTGTCTCACTGTCTGTCTGTCTGTCTGTCTCTCTCTGTCTATCTGTCTGACTGTCTGTCTGTCTAACTGTCTCTGTCTATCTGTCTGACTGTCTCTCTCTCTCTGTCTATCTGTCTGTCTCTGACTGTCTGTCTGTCTCTCTGTGTGACTGTCTCTCTGTCTGTCTGTCTGACTGTCTATCTGTCTGTCTGACTGCCTGTCTGTCTG